TTTCCAATAGAGCACTTTAGGCATCCCCAAGACTCATGAATGTTTTTATTCAGCCCAATCTGTCAACTTCTAGCCAAGAATCCTAGCCCTTGGAAATCCCCAAACTCACATGAATGGTAAAAAGCCACCTACCACTTTCCCCAAAATCCAGGTATTTATTGCTCAGCAGCAAGCCCAACACTTCCGTCCCTATTTTGCACCAAGCAATTAATGTCAAGCTCTTAACCATAATACCACTCACACACTACCACATTAAGCCATATTTTAATTCTACTAAAAAGCATGCAACTCCACGAAACCGCACGCTTACCATGGCATGGAATTACCATGCTGCAAAAGCTTGCTTAAAATCAGGCAAATGTGCTATCCTATAGCACAATGCACATCAACTTGAAACATGACTAAGGCATCCTACTGCTACTCTCCCACTTTAAAAATGAAAGCCTCAGGCTGGTTTTAAAAGTTTGGTAAATAAAGGCCGAGTTATTATCCATTTCCCCAGCCAATGAGAAGAGCTCGCTTGAGATCTGTCATGCATTAATTGGAGTTCCCCTGAACTTCTCCTTTACTTTTTCTTAATATCTCTAGTACCAGAGGAAACCCATTGTGCCTTAAGTGTAATACTTTTAATTAGTTCTCTGACAACAAGAGAGATCTTGCCCAAGGTGTATTTACCTTTAAGTGGATTGCATATTAGCCACTTGTGATTCTGGAACTCAATATACAAAACAAGCCTTATGCAAGCATTCAAATCAAAAGCAGCCCACCTCCACACTCAGCTTCAAAGTGCAAATCTCAAAGTTATAAGACATTAAGCAAAATAAACCAATCAGACCTAATGGATTTCCTCTTGGATTTAAGATATAAAAATCGATCTTTCAAAGAAAATCAAGAAAACACAATTACCATGCAATCATGAACCATTTCGCCTAAAAAACATGGTCATAACACACTTGGACCATATAATATGAAAGAAATGAAATGCCCCTAATCAAAGTTTAAATGCGAGATTACATCAATTCACACACAGCCATTGAAGTCCTCAGCCATCTCAAATATAAAGTTGTGAACATCCTAAACACTAAATCATATCAATCAAGGCACCAAGCACAAAAAAAATGATCAAACCAAGAATATCTATCAATATATTTGTTTACGGACTTAAAGATCATTATCAACAAATCTCACTGAATGTTAAAATGTCACTAGGCTAACTTCGGGTCAAGGTTGTAAGTCATAGTTAAATCAATAGAATGCCATAAAATCCAACCTCTCTAATAAGCTTAGAGACATAAGCTTTCCCATGTGAATCAATCTCAAAGCAATTTGGCATGAAGTCCCTCATGAAACCAAGTCCCAACAAGTTAAATCAAATCCAAAGTTTCAAACAACAAAGCTCTAGACTATTTCTATCAAACTGAGACATGCATCTCAACCCAACTTTAAGTCATCCAAATCATCAAAATTCTACAACTCTTGGATTGCTTCTGTTGTATTTGAACCTAAGATCCAGCCAAGCTAACAAAAAGCCATGAAGCCCACAAAAATCATTCCAAACAACTATGCTAAATATCTTCTTTCAAGCCAACTACACTCCAACTCTTTGACTGTCCCACAGCGTTCAATCTCTACCCATTTGTATGCCTCAGAATATTTCCGTCTCCAAAGTGAAATAGGACTTTGATCATGAGTAGCTAAATTGACCATCAATTAAAACTTTGAACCAATTTTAATTAAACACAATACGTCAAACACCAACAATCATGTAAGAACGCCTCTGAACTCATTAAGGCCATATTGATCCCCTTGAATTGATTTGATTTAGATCCAAATCACTTGGTCTCTTCTAAAACAGAAAGAAAATCCTTAGGCATATTTGTTGCCTCAAACTGTTTGAAAAAAGAGACAAATCATTGTTGCTAATGAGATTCCCTAGACGGTGTTGACTGTCGAGTTTAAACCACCCATTGTTGATAGATTAGTTTTGTCATAGAATCATGATAAAGCCACCACAAATCCCAACCATCTCCAAAATCCAAAATCAAGTTCAAACAATCCCCAAATTCAAAATAAATTGACGATCTCAATCGATAGAGTTATTGGGCATGGGAGGTAATTAATGATGGGACCATACATCCATGGGAAGCAAAGATCCCCCGTATACAAGATAAATCCTAGGCAATCCAAATTGACGTATAATGAGGAAATGTGGCAAAGTTAGAGAGCATGCTTTTAAATTATGTGTGGTTTATCAAGCACTTCTTGAAACTCCAAAAAAGCAAGAAGAAAGTTGAATGTAATACGAGGACAATAATTTTGATTGCAAGGAAAAGTCAAAAGCACCAGCAACATTACTCATGCTTGGCTTCGCCCCTACTCCTTGGCTTTGTTGCGCTCTCCTCTAACTCTAATTATACTGACAAAACTTAAAAAAGTATTAAATTTTGAAGTTAAAAAGTTCAAAAGTAGCTGAATTTCCTATTAAAAGATAAAGTGGTAACATAGAAAATATATAGAAGCAACTTGGAAAAAAGAGCATAAAATGAGACATAAGTTCTTTTCTTTGTTTGGTAGATTATTAAAAAAAAATCTTATAAAAAGAGAAGAATTATAATAACAAAAAACAAAAAAAAATCTAATATTAAAATCTCTTAAAATTTATACCTTAATTTTTGCACATCCAAAAATTATCAAAAGTACTTCTAGAAGATTTTACATTTCAATTTGATCATTTTACTATATATAGATGTAAACGTAAATATATTAGTATAATTATCCTTATATAATTAATTTATTAATTCAATTGTTTGGCCAAAAAACTTGCTGTTGTTAATATTCACTTAATTCACCATTCACCAAAATATTGTACTACAGCAAAACTATTTTCTCCAACAACTAACTATACATGCATTGGCAAATGTAAAGTAGTGTGTGTGTATAATAACTAACAAAATTAACTTAAGGCATTACAACATATCATCCTATTCCCATAACTATAAGGCATAACAGAGAGCTTCAAGGGCTGAAATTGAAGGGAGGAACAAAGAAGAAGAGAAGAATAAGGAAAAAGAGGATACAAGCTGGGTTAGCAACCAACAATTTGAGTTAGATTTTGAGTTGGTAAGCATAAAATTTTGAATGATGAAATATTATTTTGAGATTATTTGAATTAGAATTGTATCATGAAGAATGAACAATAGAAATTAAATAAGTTGATGGCTTAATAGATAGTGTGCAAAAGAACAACATTTGGAATGCTTAGTGGAACAAAATAAGTTCTTAGGAGGATTCTAGAATTATGGTGGGATACTCAATCCCTAATATAAAGACCAGATTATTTCTAAGATTAAATGTTTATGAGATTATGTAGCCATAATAAATTTTATAAGTATATTTATAAACCTAATTCAAATTAAGAATATCATCAACAGCTAATGGTACCGATAAAACTAGTACACTTTATATGACAACATGTTCGAATAATTTCATGATATTTCTATTTAACTCGACTCTAAATATTGTTTAATAAAATATGATGCATATTTAAGTGATCAAATATTGACGTTTACATATCATGCTTTCACCTAGGGGCATGTTAATATGAATAGATTGATAACAGATACATAACAATGCTAAGTATTTCAAAAAAAATTATTTAATGATGCAATAGAGAAGATATTTGAGATATCATATAATGTGACCACGTAGAAGTGACAAAAGTTTTGACAATATGAGCTTGGATAAGGATAAAAAAGAGTTCCCAATTCTTAATAATTGTTGAGTAGTTCAAATTTTATCAAAAGGTTGTTAATAATTGTTATATTTGATTATATTCAAATCTTATTGAAAGGTTGATGGACTAACAACAACAACAACAACAAGTCTTTATCTCACTAGTTGGTTACATGAATCTTTTTTCTCCATTGTGTCCTATTGAATGTCATATTTTCATTTAATTCTAATTAATTAAGATCATATTTTATACAATATGCCCAAGTCTTTTTAGGTCTATGTCCGCCTTTTTTAACATAAGTCGAATCTAAAACATCTACTCTCCTAACCAAATCATCAGATGGTTGATGTTTAAATGATAAAAATTGTTATTAGCAATTAAATGATAAATACTTGTTGAAGTTTACAAATATATTATATGACCACTATGAATATGAAAGAAAATGAAAGTAAGGCAAGTAAATCACTATTAAAAATTGACTAGAATAATGCATTAAAAGGATATGACACTAGAAAGATATATTTTATTTTCTTGCAAGCATTTATGCTTATTGCTCTTGATTGACTCTTTTACTTAAGATTATGTCCTGATTTCAAGTTTATTATGCCGAACTAATTGTATGTATAAACTTTTAACGCTAATATTAGTTCAAAAGACTCACATGTATACTATATTATTATTTGTTCTTATATTTTGAAATTTAAATTAGAGATATTTATCCAGCTAACCGTTTAGCTCATGAAATATAACAAGAATTGTTGTTTCAAGAAAGAGAAAGGAGAAACTTGAGTCATAATCAAATGACCCAGCCTTGTCCTTCACTTTAGATTTTTTTTATGTATCATAAAAAGAGAATAGACATAATATAAAATAAAAATTATGGCATGTATTAATTATATATGAAACTCATTAGAAAATTTGTATCCATTTTGATGATTCAAATTGTGTTTGCTTCTATAATAATGACTATCATAGATCTATTAAAGAATTTTGACGTACAATATATGTTTTGTGATAAACCTGGCATGTATTAATCATAGGCGCTCGTAGGAATTATTTGTGATTGGACAATTCTCTTCTATTACTTTTCATTTGAAACTTGGAGGGTTAAAATGACTATGATAAGTTGCTTGTTTCTGCAAAGTTTATCAAACAAAAAAGAAAGAAACGAATGAAAATTTTCTTCCAAATCAATTGTATTATCATTCATGAAATTTGGCATCATTAGCATGAGAGAAAACTAGAGATTTTCAATTTGATGTCATACTGTCTTAAGAACTCCTTTCTCATGATTGAACTTTCCCTCTTGAGAGAGAAATCTTGAGAAGAGCCTAAGAATGCAAAGCTCAAAGAGCACCGTTTTCCCACTTCCAGTTGGTGCAGATACGACCATACTTATATTGAAAAGAAAGCACCCGGAAAAGCATTCGCTCTGTAACGAATTAAAGTACCTGTAGGAAAATAGCTAAACTTATCAGCACTCTATCTGGCATTCAGGACAAGGAATTCCAGTTAAGAGCATTTACACTAAATCGCTTGCCAAACAATACTTCTAAGTACCACAGAAACATTAACTCTTTGGGTCATTTTTTACTGCATTTGGGAATAGTCCAACAGCATTTGATGACTATCACAGTGCACAAATTTTTTTTAATGCAACCTCGGTAAAGTACATTTCCACAAAGCACATTGTAAGATGGCTGCATTTCTGAGCTTTCACAGAACTAATGTTTATAACTCTGAGTCATTTTATGCAGATTTAGCTCTATCCCGAGAAAACATGATGTGCTAATACAATTCTAATGTGTCACTATACAGAGCTTGAAACCATATAAACATCCATGGTAAGAAGCATAAAATTCGATTACCAAGATTTAGCTATTCACAGAAACAAAAGGAGACTGAGATGTACTCTCATTACAAACAAGGGATATCAGCACATTCAAATATAGTACCTGAAACTAAACATGGAACGAAACGGAGCAGGTAACTCCGATGCAGATCTCAAAGCAAACGAGTCCATGGATAATCTCATCTCACCAAAATCCTGCAACAATAAACTAAAGATGGTTCAACAACTCTCATACAAAATGCATCGGAGAAGACATAAAGAAAACAGGAGGCATTTGTGATAATTGAACAAATAAACCCAACTGGGTGAGAAGAACTCAGTGTGAACTCTCGAAGGCATTTGCGATAAAATAAAAAATAAACAATAAACCAGGGTCATTCTTTCATCGGAAAATCATGTCTAATAACTTATATTGTCAACCTAATTTGTGAACCTCTATGCTCGCTACATCTGTATCGTAGAGCAAACACAAATTCTAGAATAGAGAGTTCATCGTCTAGTGTAAGTTATTAATATCCTTCAAATTACTCCAAGTGCTTCAGATTTAAATTCGTTGAGAGACTGTGAACAAAAACAAGAAAATCGATAAGAAACCCTAACTCCCTTCATCTGCTCCATCCCAGAGTCAAGTATAATGATCGAAAGCATCATTGCCAAAAAACACAGGAGAAAAGAAGCAGTGAGACTGACTTGTACCTCCTGGAGAGCTGAGCGCTTCGCCTTCCAAATGGCGGGAAGTAAACAAAGAAGTTTCGAAACTTTCCGGGGGCCGTCGACGTTTTATAGCTGTCCGAAAGTCCAACAAGTTCAACCGTCTCGGTACATTTACGTACTGACAGCTAAATCCTATCATTTTACATATATATAACATTTACATTTTAATTTTCATAGTTATGCCATAAAAAAAATTCATTTAAATTTCAAATTTATAGAAATATTTAAATATAAATAATAAGACCGAAATCTTGCCCTTACTTTTAACATTTATTGTTACGTGGCTAGGGCTATAAAAACAGCTTTAGTTCGGCTCACTAAGCAAATGAGCCGAGCACGAGAGATTAAATCTGATGATGAAATAAGTAGTTAAGAAGGAGATTTTGAAATGGTTAGACATTGAAATTATATATCCTATTTTAGATAGTGCGTGGGTAAGTCCAATTCACTGTGTTCCTGAGAAAGGAGGAGTTTGAAAATACCTATCAAATAAGTTACTGGGTGGCGTATTTGCATTGATTATAGAAAATTAAACACTGCCACCGGTCAAACACGAACAGTAGCATCTTTTAACGAGCAGAACATGAACTAAGCTTGTGCTCGCTAAACTCTTTTATACCCTTATTCCAAAGTCACAAGGATAAGGAAACGCCAAAAGTAGACGCTTGTTTTCTCATGACATTTACATTCTATCACCTAATTCCCATGAATTTACATATATATAACATTTAAAATTTAATTTTTACATTTATGACGTCAAAATCTTTCATATAACATCAAAAATATCACTACTTAAATTTTTTAAAAAGGGAATATAATTCTTCATGTAGGTGAAATGATATGTAAATAACATTGAAGTTGAGGTGTTAGGCATGTAAGGACATAAGAGTCGAGTGGTATAAATGTAAAGCTTCTGAGGAGAGAAAATTAACACAATTACATATATATAAGTTAGATTTTATTGTTTTATTTGCTTGTCATTATATGAGTGTATATATGTTTCACAGAGCCAAAATTTGCTTCGCCATTACAACACTCAAAATAAACTCAACAAAAACTACAAAACAACTCCAGCACAAGTATTAGGTTCATAACTTCAATGACCGGCATCAAAAAAAGAAGCAGCCACCTAAACCTTCCAGCAAATGAGAACTTAAAGATCATCAGACAAGTCCAGCAGCTTATCAATTCCTCATTCTCTAATAAAAATAAAAGAGGAGCATCCAAGAAGAGAAAATCAATTCCCTCACAGGCTCACAGCCACCACCAGCATCAGATCAATTCTTCATCTCCAGCAAAGCACAATAGAAAGTCCAGAGATGGATCTCAAATATTAAGAAAAGGCCACTAAACAGAATTCACTAATAATAACAAAAATCTCAAAAACATTAAAATTTCATCATATAATATGAATTTTAATGTAAATAAATAAATAAATAAATAAAACAAATAAGAAAAGAACATAAATAGTAAAAACAAACAAACTAGAAAAAGGATAAAGACCAAAAGAGCTGAGATAAAAATTACCTATCCATATAAACATTTAAAATTCAACCCAACGGCTATGAATAATTTGAATAAAAATCCAAAACTATCAAGCGAACAATTGCATTTTAATGCACGGCTCGAATTTGTCATTGCTCGATAATAAATAAATAAATAATTGTGAAGAATTGTTCTTATATACTTAGATCAAAATCTAATATAATGTCAATATACACCGACAGACAGACAGACAAACAAATAAAACAAATACAACATAAACATTAGCTCCATAAATTCAATGACCAGCATCAGAAATAAAAGCGACCATCCAAACCTTCAAGCAAGATAAGAGTAGACATTTCCAGAAGTTAAGCAAATCCTAATCTTTTAATAAAAGAGCAGCAGCCAAGAAGGAAGAGAAAAAACATTTTCAGTCATATATATATAAAGAAGTCACAGCCATCCCCAGCAAAACACAATAAAAAGTCCAATGATGAATTTCAAAGATTCTAAAAAAGGAACTTCCTACCTACACATAGAAACAATAAAATTTCATCCAAGAACTATGAATAATTTGAGTAAAATTCCAAAATATTCAAGAGAATGGTTGAATTTTAATGCATGACTGGAATTCTTCATTCCCCAAATTAAAACAAACAATTTAATGATGAATCACGTGAAGAACTGTTCTTATATACTAAGATAAAGATTCAATATCTGCTAATATACAATTTAATAAGATCAGCACAACTAAAGTGATTCAATATGAATTAATGACAATTCCAGAATTTTTTATACAAGAAATAATAAAAGAAAAGAAAGAAAAGACTACAAAGCTCAATCCAAATTATAGAAATCTTTGCTATTTTACTTAAGTGACGATTGTATAAGAAAATATTTAGACTGTAAGATGTTATATAGCAATTTAAATTATGTCAAAAAAAATTTAAATGTGTTTAGGATTATGACAATATTGACGATGAATGATGTCAATTGCTAACATGTGAGAGATGTCAAGAAATAATGATTGACAAATATCTAATGATTTTCATTGTACAATGAAGAGATATTAAGCAACTATGGCGGCATCAATGACGGTCAAGCGAGAAAAAACATTAAAACATTTAGGTGGTTGTTTATATGTTAATTAGTATGACAAAGGTTACTATAATGTTAGGACGCATTTGTAAGGACTTGATTATTTTACCTAGTAAGACTTATATGTTTATATATTATTTAGTATTTTTTATGAGTTCTTAAAGCTTATTGTATGTGTGTTGACCCCTTAAATTTTTCCATAAGTCAAGCTATTGAGTACGGCGATACTTTATCATCCATTTTTATATGAGTTTGTGTGCATTATTTGCATGAATTTTCGAGCACATTATTTTTTTTTCATCTAAGCATCATTTTACGAAAAGGCCCGTGCAAGCACGTGTGAATCGTGACACGGTTAGAGTTTGAATCAAACTTCGCTTGGCATATGCCGAGGGATCAAAATTTTATCTTATTCGAAAATTAAATAAAATTAATAAAAAATTATATATTGGTATGTTAATATTGATATATAGTTATATTTATATATCCATTTATATACATCAATATATTTGCATATATTTGTGTTAAAAATATAAAATTTTCAAATATTCCCTTTATAAATTCTATTTAGATCGAGTATTAATTAGACATTAATTGAGATTCATCCTCATTTGGAAAGAATTAATTCCTTGCCAACTACTCTTCCAATGACCCTAGACAAAAGAGTGAGAAGAATCCTAATGGGGAGAATCCTTGGTAGATCTCTCTCCTCTTCATAATGGCCCATCCAAAAAGGGCATGTTGATGCTCGAAATTGCTGCGAAACAATCAGTCAATCACACAAGTATATGTGTCGATCAAGTAATATACAGATACAGAGTCTGTATATCAATCTCATGAGAACAATTATCAAAATAATTCTTAAAATAGAAGTTCTAGTGTACTAAACTGTTGAATCTAGTTTAAAGTGATCAAAGTGCACAAATGAAAATCCTAGCAATCATAAAAAAGCAGGAAACAAAAGTGATAGTAGAAAGGCGGGGTGCAACTTTAAGTCTTTCAAAGGTGATGAGACATGCTCCTGTGAAACCGATATAATGTTCTCTCTAAGTTTTTTCTTATGAGTTATCTTACGTGATAGTTGACAGCTAGGGACACAATCCTCCATAGCCGATGTCTAGGATATAAGAATGGTTGAAAACTATATTACAGCTAAGAGGGACTTAATCTTGCAACATTTCCTAAGGTTCCTCAGATCTCCTATATAGGTTACAAATTCCTAATAACAATATGTTTATTCTACTAGGCTATTGTGTGAACCTGCTTATTATTTTAGGCGATAATTAGAAGCTCTAGATCATAAGAGATTTTAACATTTTATCGAGTTAGATTCAAAGTTAATTAAGGTCAAACAATTAACACATCAACAAATAAAATTCTAAGGCACAAAAAATATTTATGGGAACGGTAAATGTTTATGGAAAAAAATCACATTAAAAAAAATGAAAAAAACTCTTTTCTTACATCACAGGAGCATGAAAGAAGATTAGCTATGTGACATGAGGTAGAAAAGCATAGAGTTTTTGATTAAGACATGGAAGATACAAATGAAAGAGAGTACACATACTTACAACAAAGCCGAGTGTTTTCTGTAATACATTGAATCCTCACCGTACAATGAAAGCACTCTATAATCTCTCTCATACACATTTGTTAACATAAATTTTTTATGTTACAAAGGTTTGGATGCCCTTTCGAATGTTGTGGGAGTGAGTAAAGTGCATGCATTACCTCTCATAGCTCAAGGGCTCCATACGAACTTCCCGTATGCGTTCCCAGAACGATTTGGGTTTAGGGCGCTGCACCCGCATCGTAATTCGGGGTTCTCATTGGCGTTGGAATCTTTGATTGAATATCAGTAAAAATGCCTACATTTGAAGTTATGAGATTATATTTTAATCATATTTAGGGTCTGTTTGGGGCAGCTGCAGCTTATTAAAAAATTGTTGTGAAGCTGTTGAATAAAATAGATGCTCAAAAAGTTGCGGTGGCTATTACAATTTTTTTTTAAAGTCATATCGTAGCTAGAAAGCTGCCACCGTACAGGAGTGGTGGGAAAACACATATTTCAGCAGTAACTTTTTGAAAAACTGTCAAAATGCAGTTTACCCAAACAGACAAAATTATTGTGGTGGTGTTTAGGGTTTAGGGTTTAGGCTGTCACCACACCACCGACCCAAACAGACCCTTAATCTCCCATAACTTGTGGACCACCAAAACACTAGCATCAGCTGATAGATGCATACCCGCAAAACAGCCATGATAGCATTGTTGTACTTCCATTTACTTCGAGCCATGGGGATGCCCCGCTTGTCCAGAATAATTATTCTGTCTGACACCACATGTGCTCTACATGCGGTAGCGAATGAAAATGGTACGTGTGTAACGGTGGGCCCTCAGTGAAGATAAATAAACAGAATAATAAATTGAAGGCG